GCTCATAGCCATGCAGGTGGAGCACTACCGTCCCCCCCGACCCACCCCCCCCGCAGCCCTTGTCCCAAAACTCTTTCCCTTGTGCCACCATGTCACCTCCAAACCACTTTCCTCAACATCTGTGTTCTTACCGCCACCCACTGCCTCCAACAGCTGTAGCTTCACCACACAGCCCTGAAAACTACGACCCTTATCCACTGCACTCAACCCCCATCACCATGCAGTATAGCCATCCTGAAGTGCTGTACACATTGCACAACTCTCCATACAGGACATACGCAAATCTGTGACTGTACCGTTCTCCACCCACCCCACCCCACCCCGTTGTCCTTTGTGTTTCCCAAGCAGTTGTGTTGTGTTTTTTTTCAATAAATTGATTTTTTTGACTTTGAAAACATTCTTTATTATTGCATAATGTAAAAGAAACCTTAGCCCAGGAAAGCAACAGACACTGCAAGTCAGTGTATCATACGTAGCAAACACAGATTCCTACCCCACTTCACTCCCGTGCAGGGCACCACACCAGACATTACTGTTGGCTTTCAGAGTCAAATTGCTCCCTCAAGGCATCCCTAATCCTTGCAGCCCCGCTCTGGGCCCCTCTAATAGCCCTGCTCTCTGGCTGTTCAAATTCAGACTCCAGGTGTTGAACCTCCGAGTTCCATGCCTGAGTGAATCTTTCACCCTTCCCTTCACAAATGTTATGGAGGGTACAGCACGCGGATATAATCGCAGGGATGCTGTTATCGGCCAGGTCCAACTTCCCATGCAGAGAGCACCAGTGACCCTTTAAACGGCCAAAAGCACACTCCACAGTCATTCTGCACCAGCTCAGCCTGTTGTTGAACTGCTCCTTGCTGCTGTCAAGGCTCCCTGTGTAGAGTTTCATGAGCCACAGCATCCAAGGATCACAATGGGCATTTCAACTTCCCCTACCGTGATCTTCTGGTCTGGGAAAAAAGTCCCAGCTTACAGCTTCCTGAACAGGCCAATGTTCCAAAAGATGAGTGTGTCATGCACCTTTCTGGGCCAGCCTGCGTTAAGGTCAATGAAACGCCCACGGTGATCCACAAGTGCCTGAAGAACCATAGAGAAATAGCCCTTCCAATTAACTTACTCGGAGGCTAGGTGGGCTGGTGCCAGAATTGGAATATGTGTCCCATCTATCGCCCCTCCGCAGTTAGGGAAACCCATTTGTGCAAAGCCAGCCATAATGTCATGCACGTTACCCGGAGTCATGTTCTTCTGAGCAGGATGCGATTAATGGCCCTGCAAACTTGCATCAACACAATTCCAACGGTCAACTTCCCCACTCCAAACTGGTTAGCGACCAATCGGTAGCTGTCTGGAGTTGCCAGCTTCCAGATTGCAATAGCCACCCACTCCTCCACCATCAGGCAGCTCTCAATCTCGTGTCCTTGCGCCGCAGTGTGGGGGCGAGCTCAGCACACAGTCCCATGAAAGTGGCTTTTCTCATCCGAAAGTTCTGCAGCCACTGCTCATCATTCCAGACTTGCATGACGATGTGATCCCACCACTCAGTGCTTGTTTCCTGAGCCCAAAAACAGCGTTCCACAATGGTGAGCATGTCTGTGCATGCCACAAGCAAACTTGAGTTGTTTGCATTACTCAAGTAGATATCATCGTCGGAGTCCTCACTGTCACTTTGGATCTTAAGGAATAACTCAACTGCCAAAAGTGACGCACTGGTGAGACTCGTCAGCATACTCCTCAGCACTTCGGGCTCCATTCCCGCAGACTGAAAGGGAAGACAGACTGCGCAGTACAAAGACTGTTGAAAGATGGCGCCAAATGTGGATGGAAGCAAAGGGAATGCTGGGGTGCGAAACGATGCATCACGGGGCATTGGGACAGGACCCAGAATGCCCTGCACTCCCCACCCTCTTCCCACAAGCCACAGCGCCAGAATGGGAAGAGGTGCTGTGTGGGATAGCTGCCCACAATGCACCGCTCCCAATGCCACTGCAAGTGCTGCAAATGTGACCACGTCAGCTGTCAGTGTGGACAGACTGCAGCGCTTTCCCTGCTGCACTCTACGAAGGCAGGTTTAACTCACAGCGCTCTACATCTGCAAGTGTAGCCATGCCCTCGGTGTGGAACCTTCCTCGGGTCTATATCTTCTACGGCTCTTTTGGGATTGTTTAGATCTGACCCCCAACCTGCATACCTAACCCACTGATGGAGTTTTCACCCCATAGAACTCTTAGTGCTTGCTCTCAGTTCTGGTGCAGTGAGTGGGTGCCTTGGAAACCATGGCTGGCAATCAGAGTCACAAGCATTTTTTTTTTTTAAATCACCTGTTTAAAATGTTAGATCCTGGATAATCAACTTAAGAAGATGAAAGCTGAGAAGGTTTTTAATGCTGTTTTCTTTGACAGAAGATTGTGCAACACAGTCACATCCGTTTCAAAGGCTTCCACTCCCCTCCTCACAGAGCTGAGCAGCAGAACAGCGATTTGTATAGAAAATGGCATCAGCAAAGAAGGCAGGCAACTCTTGATAGGCTCAAAAACAGCTGTGGAATTTCTGTAGAGGATCTATATACTGTGGAGGGGGAAAGGTCCAGGCTCAGATCTAGTCTGCAACCCACACGATAGCAGCAGCTAGAGGTAGAATCTTAAAAACAGTACAGAATTTGAGTTGTGCTGGGATCCCATGTTTTTTAAAATACTCCTCATGTTCTGCCAAAAGCAAAATCAACGGGCCCAACTCTGCAACCCTTACTCAAGTTGGCTGCTAAATAAATGGTTTTGTTTGCTCGTTTTAAATAAGTGTCAGTTATCCCCGTGTCACAGATAGAGGGCCCGGTCCTGAAAGCATTCTCTATTACTATTTAATGTTTATATTACAATAGTGCCAGAAACCCTAATCAGTATCAAGGCCCCATTCTGCTAAGCACTGTACTAGTATAGAAATAGATACAGCCCATACCCAAAGACTTGCAGTCTGTGATCTTGACCCTGAAAATACATGAGCACAAGATCAATTTTACACAATTTTGTATCTCCCTACCTTCAATGGGACTATTCACCTGGGTAAAGTCTTAAATGTGCTTAAATGTCTAGTAGATTGGGACTTATGAAAGACCCTGCTGAAACGCCATGCAGAATTACCAGTAGCAGCCCTACATGAAGAGCACTTCCAGGAGCAGGCCTGGAGGAACTGAGACTCAGAGAAGCTAGCAATGTTGAACACACAAGTGAATAAGTGTCAGAGCCAGAATTAGAACACCGAAGTCCATGCCTCCCAGCTCCAGACTCAGCTGGCTAAGCCTTGGATTCTCTTATGATGAGCAGCCTGTTCTATGTTATTACATGATCCATATAATTTACACACACAATACACAGATTGAAATAATATTTATTATCCTTCATGGCATCAGGATACCTAATCTGGACATTCCAAAGCACTGGCCGATGCTTCCAGGGAAACTATTTGATGTGCCAACCATACTTTTGTCTGGTGTGGCTGAAACAACTTTTCCCGTACAAAACAACGGCCCCCATTTTTCTTGCCAGCTGTACCAAGTGTCACCTTTAAAAATTGACGGACGTTACAGGTGAAGCACTGAACTCTTCATTGAGTTCTTTACTTTTATTGACAGGTTTCAGAGGAACAGCCGTGTTAGTCTGTATTCGCAAAAAGAAAAGGAGTACTTGTGGCACCTTAGAGACTAACCAATTTATTTGAGCATGAGCTTTCGTGAGCCACAGCTACACAGCCACGGTACACATCTGATGAAGTGAGCTGTGGCTCACGAAAGCTCATGCTCAAATAAATTGGTTAGTCTCTAAGGTGCCACAAGTACTCCTTTTCTTTTTACTTTTATTGTAAATGAAGGTATGTGTGTGTGGGGCGGAGGGCATTTTCCACAGATCTATGCCCTGACAATGTTGTGAATGGCAACAATACAAAACGGTTATAACTCTGCAGTCCTCAACAGTGGTTCCTTTTATATTTACCTTCTCATTCAAGTTAGCAAAACCATAATTACAATGCTAAGGACAGCATTTTCAAGAGCAGGAGAGGGAAAAAATGTTGTCATTGTCCCATGAGTTATATATTGTTTCAGTCTCAACAGGCACTTCAGAAAGGCCTATGACCTCAACCTGGACATATAGGTTAACAGAAAGACCTGTGCATATATTGAGTCTGAAGGTTACAAATATTTTTAAATGGCTTACAGACAACCCCAACACTTGAGCAAATGTCAGTCAGAACAGAATTACTGTGCTTGTTTGAAGAGGAGCAAAACAGAACATGGACCGTATTTCTGAAAGGGAGAAGAAGAGATTTACTGAGAGAACAAAGAGCTGACGATGAATTTCAGCATTTTATAGTTGAATTAAGGGGTCTTATCAAAAGCCTGCTTTCTTTGTTCTCTTTCTTTTGCCACACACACAACTAATAGCTCCCCCAAGAACAACTTATTGCATACAAATCTTTCACTGTGTTTTAAGCAAAACCACAATTTAATTTTTTAAAAGGCAAACAGTGAATTACTTCCAAGAAAAGTCATGCCAACAAATAGCATAGCTGAAACAAAGCACTTTGGTGCTAGTCCTTGGTAACATTTGTAGACCATATTTTTGGCAATGCTGCCTTTCCAAAGAGGCAATTTCTAATTCGACAAGAACAAAGCCAAATTCTGTCACTATTAACATATTTAACCTTTTATTCTTTTATTATTGTCCGTTAAAAAATAATGCTTAAAACCCATCAAAACGTTTTAATAGGAACGATGGGTTTGAGTTACTGGATATTTTCTCTCTAAATGGCACTATGAGAAAAATAAAGGAAAAAAGAGATCAGTCTCTAAAGTCATCTGGATTTTTTGCTCAGCAAACCTCACTTAAACAACGTTGATGCAACCACAGACATCACCCAGACAGAGTTCAATACAATCTCCACGCATTGCACTACTCCACAGACATGAGCACTGACAGTTACCGATAGCGAGCGTATTTTTGGTGTATTACCTGAATCTCTCATTGCGTCTCCTTTCTCCCTTTCTGCAGGATGATATCAAGTGGAAAATGTTCAATGGTTTGCAGGCAGGAGGCGACAACCAGGAAGCACAGTTGTGACAGAGCTTTGTTCTGCCTGCAGTGAATTACACGCAGCAAGGGTTAGACAGCAGCAAATTCTGAAATCAAAGCATCCTTTTAGCCTGGATCTAGAACTATGTTTCAGGGGTGCAAGGAGGCGGGGTGTGACATGCTTCCAGATTCATTCAGACTAGAAATAAAAATAATGAAAAAAAAAATCGATTCCCTGTCTCCAAGTTCCCCTTTTTTGAAAGCAGCCTCCCCTTTAGCAACTCCCTCAGTGCCGAAAAGGGAAACAAACACCCTGTGGCTATTCCATGTGAGAGTTGATGGGTATAGGAGACAGTTACACAGATAACACATGCACGCACACACCAACGGATCAGCTGGCATTTCAGACATCGCTTTACCATCCCTACCACTGTCCCTCCCCTCTTTTAACAGGCTAAGCCCCTTTTTAAAGCCTCACCCTTCCCGAACGCAGGAAACATGCAAAGCCTACCCCCTACCCCCAAATTGCAGGGCTTGTCTCCCCCCTAAGCTCCGGCTCCTTGCCTTGCCCTTCCAGCGATCATTTCACCCCTGCCAAGCAGAATCGGCCAGATGAGAAGCCCTAACCCTCTGTCTCTTCTCCTCCTGGAGGCCCCTCCTCGGGAGAAAGGGCTGGAGATAGAAAGCCCAGCTGGCTGGAGATAACAACCCCTCGGCGAAGAAACTATTTCTTTAGGCAAGGCCCGGGGGGCAGGAAGGAAATGCAGCCCCCCGTGCCGCTAGAGACAAGGGGGAAGGTGGTGGGCGGAGGGGCTGGCTTCAGCCAGGGCTCAAGGAGGCATCTGAGGACACCACCGACTCAGCCAGATGGCTGTCACCCCACGCCAGAGCCGGCACTCCCCCGCCCCATCACCCCCCTGCCCCGACACACCAGCAGCCCGACCTAGTCGCTGAGCGGGGCGAGAGATTCCCCGCACCCTCCTTTGCAACTCCGCTTCCCAACACCACACACACACACACACACACACGCTGCAGCCGAGAACCAGCCCGGCCCGTGAGTCACGGGGGGTCCCCTCGGAAACCACTAGCTGGCGGCTGCTGGGGAAGGCTCCCTCGCACACACCGGCAGGAAGAAGACGGGGGTGCAAGAAGCACACTGACCTGCTTTTGGTTTATTTCGGGCTGCTCGCCCGACGACACAAGCCGCGTCTGCCCCCTCTGCGCCCCTGCCCGCGCCTCTGGCGGTGCCCCGCGCTGCCGGGCCAGCCCCGGGCACCCTGCTGGCGGCGCGCTGGCCTCGCAGACGGCCGGGAGCAGCGCTCACCAGGCTGGGGAGGGAAGGGCAGGAGAGCGGCTCTTTGCTTTTGAAACACACGTGGGCTCGCACGCCCGATCGCAGCCTCCTCCCCACACAGGGAGCGAGCCCCCCTTCCCGCTCCCTCGTCAGTCTCACAGCGGGCACCAAACCGCAGCGGGAGCCCTCCCGGCCTTACCCCCCCAGAGGCGGGCACGGCGGGGGCCGAGGAGACTCCGCCCCTAGGGCCCGCCCCCTTCTTTCCCCCCCTGCCCTGCCCCGGCAGCCTGTGGTTGGCAGCAGCGATCCCCCCGCCAGGGGTGGCAGCCCCACCGGCAAGGAATTATAATGGTCGCCCTGTGAGCCATTCCTGCCGGGCGATGCCATAATAAAATCCTAGCGTGCTGAGGAGCAATCAAAAGCAAATCACCATCTCCTAAGACAGGCTTTTATTTTCCCTGGCAGGCAAGTGTGTCTTAAGATCCAAAAGGTACCAGCAGCCTCAGGCGGGCTTGTTTGGCCAGTTGCGGCTGCAGGTTGTGTTTTCCGGCTGTGTGTGTGGGGGGGGAGCTGAGCAGCAGCAGCGGGGGAGCCCCGGCCTGGGCAACGGGGTATGTGGGGTGGGGAGCCCGGGCTGGGACTTCTGTCTCCTCTCTCCAAAGCGCTTTGCAGGCCAGGGAGAACTTACCCAGGCTACGGTAAAAGTACAGTACCCTTCAGCACTGCTGCTCTCAAACAACCCCCTGCCTAAAAGCCTGGGGGGAAGAGTCATACAAAGGGAATCCTGGTCCCCACTGTGCAGACGAGAAACAGAGGGGTTAAGAGGCCTGCTTCTGGTCACACAGCAACTGTGTGGCCGAAATAGAAAGAGAAGGCAGGGGTTCTTTCTCTGAGTTTGCTTCTCTGGGCAATGCTGCTAGGCAAAGTGCAGGGGTGGAGAATAGAGCGGCCAGAAGGGCTACTATTTATAGGGGCTATTTATAACTTTTTCGCTTGGGGAACTGTAATAACCTGAGGTTTTAAGATATATTTTTATTGCTTTTTAATAGGGAAAGGATGATGGCACTTTCTAAAAAAATACTTAGCCAGTGTGTGTTAGGTATTCCCTTCAGTGCCTGATCTACAGAGGGTATGGGTCTGCTCTAGCTCTCAGCTTAAATTAGGCTCTCACATTATAGAGTCTATTGCTTTTCACTTTGGAGGTCCCCAGCCAACATGGCAGTCATCACATCACTGTCGATGTACATTAAAACAACAGAAGAAACAGATACAGGACCCGGTGCTGCTTACTCAGAAAACAATCCTATTTCCACCAGTGGCTGGGGACAAATGTGTTCAGATGTCTTGGCATCACACATGAGGTCAGCTAGTGTGAAACAAGAAAGTCCATAAATTATCAGATAATTAATTAAGATAAAAGAAAAGGAGTACTTGTGGCACCTTAGAGACTAACCAATTTATTTGAGCATAAGCTTTCGTGAGCTACAGCTCACTTGATCGGATGCTCAGGAAAGCTTATGCTCAAATAAATTGGTTAGTCTCTAAGGTGCCACAAGTACTCCTTTTCTTTTTGCGAATACAGACTAACACGGCTGTTACTCTGAAACCTGTTAATTAAGATAAGTTTCTCCTCTGTCCCTTGAAGAAGTTCAATATTGTGGAATACATTCATCTTCCAAAGACAGAGTTGCTTCTGATGTGATGATGGCAAGTTCCGGGGAACTAGATCTACAGACATATTAGTATGACCTCAAGAGCACCCTACGGCCAGAGGTCAAGGGGTTCCCTGGTACGTAGCAGTGAGTCTCAGCTGGCCTGACCAGTCCAGTGCACCCCAGGCACTGTCATGACATTTATTTAAGAGGTGTCTTGTAATGTATCACTGGGAGACTAGTAACTCACTGATCAACAATATTCTTGTGTGAAGTACATATGGTTCACATGCAACAAACGATAGAGATGTGCTGGAATGGAAATATATTCCTCCAATCTGTTTGGCAGATAGTGCCTAACCCCAGATGGCCCTAAAAAGAACGCTGTTTCACAGACAACGCTGTGTCTCCTATGTAAATTAAGCAAGGTGTGACCAAAGATAATGAAAAGCACATTTACATGCAAAGTAAACAAAGCAAGAAAGTGAGGGAAAATGATTACTGAACAATCTCCATGGGGGATGGAGACTGCACCTTCCAGGAAGCCTTTCTGTCTCCTTTGACAGGGTCTATGAACTTGGAGAAGATGAAGAGAAGACAAAAGGTCATTTTGTCATCCTTCACCTGAGGAGACAAAGAACCAAGCAATTTGGGCTCCGTGCTGGATCCTGGCTAAAGGCTCACCAGCCGTGCTGGAAGAATGACTTTGGTGAGAAAACTACTGTGCATAAATGAGGCTAGTTTGTTAAGTGAGATTTTAGTCTTAGAAGTGTATTTTTACTTTTGCTTGTTTGTAACCATTTCTATCCCTATCTCTTCTGCTTGGTATCACCTAAATCTGTGTTCTGTTGTTACTAAGCTTGTTTTACTTTGTGTTAACCTTAGTAAAGCTAACAGGTTACGGTGTACTGTCTCTTTAAAGAACCAGCAAACTTGATTAGGTTTTGTGAGTGTTACTAGTGAGAGGGGCTAAGCGCTGCAGGTAAACATTTTTGGGGAGAATCTGCGGCTGGAAGGGTTGTGGAGGTCCCCCCTGGAAGAAACTGGGTGATAGAAGCCAGGGTGAGACCTTTTTGCTCATATGCTGGCTCTTGGTGTCAAGGCTGTGAGCCACAGCTGCCTAGCATTTAAGGCATCCAGAGTTGCAAGGCAGGTGTTGATTGAACCCCTTACTGGCCTGGGGGGGAAAAGCGTCACATTCAATGTTTGTTTTTGTTTGAAACAAACTCTTCTCTCACCTTAAAATTTTGCCTACAGCGCCACTCTGGAAATGGTGAAAGTGAAGCAGTAGAACCTCGCAAAAAGAAAAGGAGGCCTTGTGGCACCTTAGAGACTAACAAATTTATTTGCACAGAAGCTTTCGTGAGTTACAGCTCACTTCCTGGGATGCATTCAGTGGAAAAGACAGAACCTCGGAAATTTACAAAACGAAACATTCTCACAAAAATCACTTCAGTCTCACTCCACTCCTCAGCAGAGATTTAATGGCAGAACAAGGTCTCATACAACTTAGACATCATTACTTTTACTTAGCATATTCTACTGTATGTTCACGAGTATACCATGAAGTTAAGCAAATAATTAAAACTAAGCTACAGTTCTTAGACTAAGTGACCAAAGCACGTTGTGATTCATTAGGCTTTTGTTTGTTTGCTTTTGGGGTTTGTTTGTTTGTTTTTTCTTTTTCTTAATTGAATAATTGAGCTTTATGTGGGTGAAGAGTACAGAAGTCAAATAGGCCAAATCCAGCCACCGATCTGGGTTCAGACTGCAGGGACAATGGCATCGCCTTCTCTTCTTTCTCCTCCCTTCCCCATCCTGGCCATAAATGAGCATGAGTCCAGAGTTAGCCTTACTATTTTTGCCAGCACCTCCAAAACCAATTTTGAGCATGCCCTACCCCAAAAACCCAACTGATTCCTGTCCACCTGATTGCACCACTATGCCCACAGGCAGTCAGGGGGATGGAAGGAAGAACAGCAAGATGGCTATTTGCAGCACTCACAAAGTTAATGGACTTATTTTATTTTATAAGTGTTGGAGTTTGGGGTGAAGCAGGATCTTTAGGATACTGTCATCCTCCTGCATCTGGACAAGTGCCAGTCAGCTACTTGTGCTGTTCATTGGTATCATAAAATTATAGGGTCCTGGTCCAGGACAGGGGCTCTTTGGCACTGCAGAAATACAAATATGACTAATAATTTTCCAAATAAGTCTGGGATGTCTGCACTGGCAACTATGCTGGTGATGAGTATGTTTGTTTCTCTCTGGAGAATTTCATTAGCCTGAAGGCTGGAGGATTTATTTCACAAACACTGGCTTAATGTCAATTGGGAAGCTTGCTTTATCTTCATTCACAGGGAAAACCATGTACACAACGTGACCCAAGTATTTGCACCACAATAATTCAAGGTTCTCTAAGGGCTGTTCATAAAGCCTTCGAGATATTGGGTTGGTTTTACAATTAAAAAAAGAACCGTATATAGAGTTCACATCAGGAATTTGTGCTACATCCTATTCTTAAAGGGATACTTCAAAGTTGGTGGGCACAAAATTTTACACAAGTCTATGTAATTGTTTATGTATTAGTTCCCTCCTTTTCTTATTTTAAAAAAAACTAATGCCAGCTATGGTATTGTAAACAACCCCACCATAACAAACCCGTGTGGATACAATGGAGGAAAATGGAAACAGATTTCCATCCCTTCTAGTACCCGTTAGCATCTTTGTTAGCAGAGAGGCCAAGCACTCAATGATTAGAGACTAAACTGTCATCTTACTGGTCGAGATGGTCCCCTGTAGGTCAAGACTGAAGTACGGTGGCATTATTATGTTTTTGGTATTAGTATTACAGTAGCAGTTAGAAGACCCAGCTGAGGTGGAGGCTCCATCCTGTTAGGAGTTGTACAAACACATAGTTGAAGACAGTACCTGCCCCAAATAGCTTACAGCTGTGGCCCTGATCCTGCACAGACTAATCAATATGTTTAACTGTAATCATCTGACTAGTTCTACTAAAGCTAAAGGGAATACTCACGTGCTTAAAGTTAAGCATGTGAGTGAGTCTTTGCAGGATCAGGGCCTAAGTAGGTAAGACATACAAAAGATAGGGGAAAGGAAGTATAGTAATTCCCATGGACAATCTTGCACTGCTTCTGTTACCACTTTCGCTTGCCATGAGAATAGGAGGATTTGAGTCTCCAGGGGTGTCAATTAGTACTCTTGAAAAGTTCCCAACAGTTGACTTAAAATAAAGGAAAGGAAATAGATTTCACCTTCAAATGCCCCTGTAGTGTTGGGGGGGGGGGGGGGTTATGTTTTTTTGCAGGGGATGTTTGTGTTGGTTGGTTAGTAGGGTTTTTTTAAATGCAGTATTCAGGAAAAGTATTCAGATTTTTAATATGGTGAAAAATACCTTGGCGTGACATCGACCACTTGACTATGTGGTCCCCTGTTCTTTGCAAAAAGCTCTCACCGGAGACAGGATAAACTCACTACACCAAACTCATCTTATCTTATATATACTCTTTATGGATAAAT